CTACAGGCAAGAGGCAGTGTACACAGGAAAGAGCATATAGGGACAGACTCAGTAGATGTGAATAACATAAAACATGCATTGATCTAGCAGTCCAGCAATTCTGCTCCTCAAAATAGACACTCAAAACTCTTCACAATCCACCAAAGATAAATATGAATATGTTCTTACCAACACTATCTGTAACACCAAAGCCTGGAAATAACCCAAATGCCCATTAATGATCAGATAGATAAATTCGATATACTGTGAGGCAATAAAAATGATTAATATATCTGCATCAAATGGATGAAGCTCAGAACCCTAGTGGAGAGTGAGAAAAGCAGCATTGTTGTGCTTATACAAGGTTCACAAAGAGGCTAATATCTATTACAGGACCCAGAGCGATCAAGTAAAGCCAGGGACTGGCTAGCACACAGTCAAAATAACAGTTCAGTCCCCTCATGAGGATAGAAATGATCAGAGATGAAGACATGACAACCCTTTATATTTCTTAATTGATTGTGGATTCCAGGGATTCTTTTGATCATTATTAATATTTTGGTTAGCAATATGCATTACAATCGTGTATAACTTCTAGTTTTTAAAGGGTGATTTTAGGGGGTTGTCAAGGTAGCTCAGTCAGTATAGTTTGCTACACATGCACAAGGAACTGAGTTCCATCCCCTACACCAGTGCAAAAAGCCTGGGGTAGGGAGCAGAAATGGGAGGATCCTTGGGCTGGCTAGTAGACTAATCAAAAACCCTGTGTTCCAGTGAAAGACCTTGACTCAAAAAACAAGATGGTTGTCTCCTGAGAAATAACACCTGAGGTGGATCTCAGGTCATGCATACACATAACATGACTATACATACCTGCATGTGTGTGCACACATGTGCATGCATGCACACACACACACACACACACACACACACACACACACACACACACACACACACACAAACTTTAAAACAAATGCAGTGGTCAATAAGGCAGAGACCTGAGGCTTTGCTTCTGCAGAATCACAGTTCCCAACCTTCCAGGCCTGCAGGCTGGTGTACACCTACCCTGGAGATGCTAGAGACACTGGACCCTGGCTTCCAAGCCCAGTTATAGGCAACATGAGCCAAGTGACCATGTTTCTTCATTTAAAATGAGCAACAGGCAAAATTGTGTCACATGGTAGAGATTCTACGAATATTTACCAAGTAAATCAACAAATGGCATACACATGTATGTGCATGCACACACATGCATACACACGTGCACACACACACACACACACACACACACACACACACACACACACACACACCAGCATTTGAAGCACCAAGACAGAAAGTTCTCTGCTCTATTCCATCCAAACTTTTGGTATTTTCATGGTACGGATTTTCTACCCCAAATGTCAGTTTCCCTTCTATTTTTCCTTTTGCTGTCACAACAAGCACATGAGTATTTTCCATGGAATTGTACCAAATGGCACCTCTCATATTTTGTATACAAACTCCTCTCTCACCCAGTATTAGTCAGATTTCTGTCATCATAGTGAAATACCTGAGGCCATTAACCATGTAAAAAGACAGATCTGTTTTGGCTCATAGTCCTGGACAGTCAAGTTCAAGATCAGGCAGCCTAGGTGCTATGAGTCCCTGCAAGTGCAGCAGTCATGGTGGGAATACAGGGCAGGGAACTCTGTTCATATCACAAGAACAGACAGCTACAAAGGCAGGATTCCCATAATCTCCCTCAGGGACATGCCCCTATGGCCTAAGGACTTCCCTCTAGGATCTACCTCTTCAAGGTCTGTAGCACCTCCCAACATCCCCCTCTGGGAACCAAGCCCCTTAACATATGAACATTCAGGGGACACTCAACATCTAAACTGAATTGTGCCTTTCTTTCAAATTCTCTCAGGGCTTTCCTGCTTCAGTCTCACACTTAATGCAAATGGCCAATCCTCAGGATCTACTAGGGGAAGACATTCCTGAGATTAAAGGGAGACTGATTGGGAAATGGGGAAGAAAAAATCCTTACCCCCCAAAGGAAGGGTCTGATTGTGATGTTCACTATAGGATGAGCTGCTCCCTAAGGCATTTACACGCAATTTGCTTTTTAATTGAGCTCATCAGAAACTGTGTCATCACACATACATTGACAACATGAATCGACCATGGCACATGGACATTCCCCTGCCAGTGATGCTATGGAATCTAGCACATGTATGTTCTGAGTGCCATCTGCCTTAGATCACCTAATGGGACTCCTGTGGGCAAACAGGCTGGGGTATTCACCAGGGGAATAGTCAGGCCAGGCAGCAAGAGTCGGGGTAGAGAAACTTTTAAAGGCACAAACTAGCTTCAAAGGTTGTCAAGAGGCTGATGGCCAGGGTGGGCAAAAGCAGCAAGGTCCTGTACAGACTACAATAAAAGAGCTGTGACCTCCAGAGCAACTGACACCAAATGGGTCAGGACCCTGGACAGCGCCATCTGCAGGTGGCTGGGCGTGGACTTCCATCAGCTCTGAGGTGCTCCACCCACTTCCATGCCCCACCACAATCAGCAAACACAGAGGTGGCTTGCAGTCGGTCCTTCCCTTTACCATGGAAGCCTCCCAGCATCCTAAACATGGTTTTGCGTTACTGAGCCCACATTCAGCCTCTGCATCCTTCTCAACGCTGTGATTCATATCTGATGAAAGCTGTTATTCACTCAGCATCTTTGTGGGATTAATTATAAAGGGCAGGCTAGCCAAGAACTAAAGCCCACCCCAGTAAATGTAGAGGAACATCATATTAGAACAGAGAGGCACACTTTGGGGGCTGTTCCAGGGTCAGGGTTGTGGATGAAGATGGGCTAGATTTGTTTCTGCAAGGTGAAGCATTCTTCCTAACTCCCTACCCCATCCTAGATCAGATGTCAGGTCACCCAATGGCCCCATCTTTCTCCACATCTCTCCTTTGTCTTTTTCAAAAATTATTGTAAACTCCCATGTCTTCATCCATGAGTTTGTCATTCACATAATTCCAGAAGAAATTCCAAAGAAAAGCACATGGTCTGCTCTTCTGGGCATGATCACCTCTGTGGGAGCCCAGTGGACATCAGGGACAAGCCCTCATGAGTGTCAGGCTAAGCCAAGTGTACTGAGGATGCGTAAGCAGGTGACTAAAATGTCAGCTCTGCTGGACCCGGTGGAGAAAGAGACCTTTCCTGGAACCTTTGCTATGTGAGTTACGTGGAAGTGAGAAGTAGAATGAGAAGAAAAGACAGGCACTGGGCAAGTGTCTCCAGGCACCACTCAGTCCTCACAGATCACAGAAGGCCAGACAGTGAGCAGGCTAGAGAGCTGGCCTCCCACCCCACCTCCCTTGCAGCTGTGACTCCTCAGAAGGCCTCAAGGAGAATGGTATGTGCAGACCAGAGACAAGTGGAGCAGTGGTACCTGGTACCTTCGAGGAGCAAAACTGAGAGGGCCTGTGCATACCAGAGGGGGGGGGGGCATGCTCCAACCCTGGTGGTGCCCACACCTCCCACAGGGCTCAGCCTCAGCACCGATAGGAGGACTCTAAGGTTTGGTTTCTGGAGTGAGGCCTGATTTCTCAAAGATGCCATGGGGCACATCAGTGCTGTTACAAGGTCTCCAGCTCCTCCCAGGGGATCTGAGACTGAGCAAGTGTCAGAGGGAAAGCCAGTTCCTGGGCATGCCGGCAAAACCCCTGAAGCAGTGAGCCACACTTGTCCCCATCACCACCACATTTTTATTCCAACACAGTAACTGTTTGCTCTTTCACTTCTTCCTGGAAGACTCCAAACAGTTTATTTGTTCAAGCCACTGAGGACAACATCCCAGATTTAGGGAAGCAGAGTATTTAGGCAAATGCAAACATATGCTGATTTCCTTTCTTGGCAAAGGGATTATTTCACCAGAAGACAAAGCTGGACTTCAAAAGGGTTGTACCATTCAGTCTGAAGCTCAGCCCAGGGGGCTTCCAAGCCTCACAAGTGCCCATGAACAGGTAATGGGATGGTTGTGTCTATAAAAGTGTAGCCTAGGAATTCTTAAGAAAACCACTTTGGATCCTGACTAATAATCACACAAACATGCTGAAGACATGAATCCGTACCCACAGCAGACTGGACTGGACACACATGAAAACTGGTAAACTATGAAGAGCCTGCAGGCCGCACCAGGGTCAAATCCTGGTTGTGATATTATACTACAGCTAAGCAAAGTGCCAGCCTTAGGCAGCCTGGGCGAAGGGCACATGAGATCCTTCTGCATTACTTCTCATAATGGCATGTGACTGTCAATGGTCTCCAAATAAAACCTTTCTGAAGCACAAATGATGGAAACCATTTTATCTCAGGACTCGAACTGATCTATTTACAGAGGCACTTTGAGCAAACATGAAGCAGTTCCTCCAAAGCCCACTTTTGTGGTTCCCTAACAAGTAAATTATGCTTACTTCCTCAGGAGAGGTCTTCAAAGGAACCACACACAGCCATATAGTGTCCCCAGGCCCGCCAGCTAAGGCATCCCTCCTTCTGATCTTTGCCCAGGCCCAAGAACCTGAAGCATGGCAGATCAAGGTGGATGCAAGTAGAAAGCCAAGGCTGGACCACCATCCAGCATGAGGAATAACCTTCAGAGGGGAAGATGCCAAGAAGACCCAGGCAGGCAGCCCGCACCGCTGCCTGTATGCAGCTCTTCAGATCCCTGCCAGCAGTTTATTAATATTTTATTGAAAATTCTAAGATGATTCAAACTTCAGCTGTCATGATAAGGTGATGTTGCTAGGCAACTTTAGTGCCGATCTACAGATCTGTTTTTGCAGCTCTTCTGTGATACACGAAGCTCAAGGTGGAGCCCTACCACCCCAAGGAAAAGTCAGCCCAGACCACCAGCATGGATCTACACCCTGACAGCACCCCAGTACCGGGTCCCACTGTTGAAACCTGTGGTATTAATGCCACCAGCACCCAGCTGTCCCTGAAACCAAGCTTCAGCCCATCCACCCTGGACTCACCATACTCGCTGTCATAGAACATGACGAACTTCTGCCAGCGCAGTTCTGTCACGAGCCTGAGCATGACATCATTGAGACGGACAGGTGGTCTCGAAGCCAGTGTGTAGGCCTCACCGTCAGGGCTAGGGTTCAGGTGGCAGGCAGTACGTGGTGAACCCCCCGGGTTGCGCTGAACAAAGAGGTGTGGGATGTGCATGGCGTCTGTGAGGGACTGCAGGGCGTTGGCAGATGCACAGCCTGTGGATGTGACCAAGGCCAAAATTCCCTGGGTCATGAGGTCACAGGCTGGAAAGAGAGGAAAAAGACAGGAAGAAATCAGCATGGGACACTGCTGCACAGGATTCATTCCCACAGCTCCACCCAGCAGCTCATGCCTGTGGCCTTGAGATGCCTTCCCACACAGACCAAGAGCCTGCCCAAGCAGGCCAACTCCCAGACAGGCCAGCAGCTCTCATTAGTTAGATGCTGATAACCTTAAGTCACCATGAACACTGAGAACCTTAGTGAAACATCCAGCTCCATATCTCAGGCTCATTTAACAGATGAGGACAGAAAGATCCAAAGTGGCAGGATCATTTGCCCCAGACCAGTCAAAGGAGGGTGGTACAGCAGGGACCCACCCCAAATCTCCCTGATTCATCAAACGGAACTCTCATTTAGACACTGTTTCTCACCTTGGGGCCAGTAGCCAAAATGCTGGAGAGGAGCCAAAAACTCATGCTGGGGAATCTTTATGTCCTTTGTCATGGGAAAGAATACAGTATGTGCTGTGCAATTGTCACCTGAACTGAACTGCTTGGATCTGTAAGACCTGGATGACATCATGATGTCAGAAAGACATATACTTACCCCCAGAGGACCCAGAATCAGGAAAGGAAGAGGGCAGGAGTCTCGGTCTCCTGGCCAAGTCCACTTGAGTCCTATCATAAGAGTACTGGATCAAATCCCAGATGAAGTGGTTGGCTCCAGAAGCCCAGGATTGTTCAAAAGCCACTTGACAATCACAAAGGAAGATGCACCCGTAGTTCAGGCAGTTACCAAGGGCACAGAGGACAAATGAAACCGAGATGACAACAGCCCTTTCTAGGACTAACACACTGAGGAGCCTGGACTTCCAAAGTCACCAAGTGACTATAAGGGGCACCACTGTTAGCCATAAGCTCATGCCTTTTATGGACATCAGAGCAGATAGAAAGGTCCTGCTTCCCACCCCCCCAACTCCCTGAACCAGTTTTGAAGCAAGCATGTCTCATGAATGCTTTGTGTGACGGCGGGAATGTGGGAAGCAGATGCGGTCTCAAAACACAGCCTGTGAATGGCAGCAAGCCATCTGCTGCACGCAGTAGGCTTTGAACAACTTCGACAATGCAGTTCCTTCGTGGGAACCCTGGAGTTTATATAATGCTTCAGACAGGGCTGAGAAGGAGGTGAAAAACAAGAGAGCTCACCCCAAGTGGAAGGAAGTGAGAGGCTGGAAAGTATGTGGAGGGAGGTGTCCCCGTCACTGGCTGGCACCAACAGCAGCTGCTCCCATACCAGGGCTTTGCCATACACACTGGCATAGCCAATGATCATAGATGATAACTCAGGCCCCAGTTCCCAATGATTCCCCCATTTCCCATGCCATGGGTCTCTCTCAAGGATCTCATAGTCACCAAAATGTTCTGCCCTTCCATCATGGATTCATAGAAATACAATCACATTGTGCCTGTTTAAAGACATCCAGCAAGGACTTGGGAGATGGCTCAGTGTGTAAAATCCTTGCCACACCATCGTGAGGACCTTAGTTTGGATACCCAGCACCCACATACAAAAGACAACACATTCCTTAGTTGTCTGTAGTTCCTTGAGCTTCCTGCTTCATTCATATTAACATGTCTATTGGTATAATCCTTGTTCAGATCATAATTAGGCAGTCATGTTGGCGAGACTTCAGGAGTGTAGCCTCTGACATTCCTAGGAGGCACAATCTCAAAGCAAACTCCCTGTTCCTCTGGCTCTTATCCCTTCTTTCAAAATGATTTTTAAGGCTTTGGTGCAGGAATTATGTAGAAAACCTATCAGTCTGCTAGAACTGGGCTCCACAACTCTGTATTTTGATTGGTTGTTGTTTTCTGTAATAGTATCTATCTGTTGCAAAAAGAACTACAGGCAACTAAGAAATGTTGGGAAATAGTCATCCCCAGGAAGAGAGCACCAACTGGTTATCCAATACCAACTGATCAGCCCTGAAGTATCATACAAGACTTAGCAGGTTGTATTTGTGTATTTAGGAACACATACAAATACACATATGTAACAGCAATTAATGAAATTGGAAGCCATAAATTTGAGAGAAAACAAAGAGGGATATATGAGAGGGGTTGGAAGGAGGATAAGGGAAGGGAGAAATGATGTGATTGTATTGTAATCTCAAAAAACTAAAAAACTAATTTTTAAAAGCCAACACAGTAGTGCACACCCATAATCCCAGCACCAGGTAGGTTGAGGCAGGAGAAACCCTGTGCCTTTCTGACCAGTTGCACTATGTAAGTCAGTGAGCTCCAGGTTCAGTGAGACACTACCTCAGTGACAGAAGCCAACATCTGATATTGACCTCTCTATGCCCTCACATGAATGCATGCTACACATTCACACATGTATGTCTATGGGGGGGGGTATTGGAGACACACCATGCCTACACCTCATGCTCTTCATTCTATCTCTATATTCTAGATTGACCCCCTCAGCACTGGAACTCAACTTCCTGTCATCCTTGCTTCAGGACTGATTCAACCTCCCCAGGCTGGCAAAGGCCCTCTTTCAGGATCCCCACACTTGCCCCGCTATGGCACTGCAATTTTCTCTATAACCACCTGACGCTCCTAGAGACTCTCAAGCTCAAGGAGGAGAAGAGTGAGTGAGCTCTGCCATGCTCACTACTTATGGTATGTGTGTGCGTGTGTGCACACACACATACACACCCCAAACACTCACAGTGGACAAAGCTTGGTAGCTCATAAATATTTGTGCAAGGAGGCCGTGGATCCTGACATTTTGTTTTGTTTTGTTTGTTTTTCGAGACAGGGTTTCTCTGTGTAGCTTTGGAGCCTATGCTGGCACTTGCTCTGGAGACCAGACTGGCCTCGAACTCACAGAGATCTGACTGCCTCTGCCTCCCGAGTGCTGGGATTAAAGGCGTGAGCCACCAACACCCAGCAATCCTGACATTTTCATGCTCTGTGTTCCTCATTCCTCTCTGGGCACATATCCAAACCGTGGGAACAGTGTTAGATCCAAAAGCATGAGGACACTCAGTGGTACTCAGAGAACACTGCAAAGTATCTGAAAGATGCAAATAGGTGTGTGGTTATGGAAGTGCAATACTCTGAAAGCACGTGCAGCCCTTACAGCTGTGCACCAAATACAGCAATATTGGAAAGTACTTGTCATAAAAAGGTACATGAGAATCATACAAAAATATATGTATTATGTATTTTACAGTATCAATTAAGTGAAATACAATATGCATGAAAGACCAGAAGGGAAAAATTCAAAATGTTCAAAGTGAAAGCAATTTGGGAGTGCGCTTCTTTTTTTTAATTTTCTTATATTTTGCAAAAATTTCATGACATGAATAGGTAATTGATTTTTTTAAAAAGCAGAAAGAATTCTCCAGTAATGGATAAGCTGGAAACATGGAGGAAGAAGGGCTACTGTGTGAGAATCTCCTCAAAGCCAGCCTCTGTTGAGTATTTGATATGTGTGAATCCATGTTATTCTCATTTATATCCACTTAGGAAACAGATTTTTGCTTCTGCTTCCCAGATAATAAAATGAAAGGCCACACGAACATCAAGTGATGGTGCTGGACTAAGGTGAACTACCAGTCCATCCCCATATTGCCACAGACATGGTTGAAATACTTCTGAGACATGGTCAAGAGAGAAAAAAAAAGATACAATACTGTATGCTGATTACAATGTAATAGAAACATGCCTTCAAATAAGGCAAGAAACACAAATGGCTAAGACATCGTGAAGGTACATGAATTGTTCTTTGATTCATTGTCTCTCCAATACTGACATTGCATTAAAATCTTAAGCAATCTTTTCAAATAAATCAAACAGTGCAGAGTTAATGGTCCAGGAACTCCATCTCCTGCATCCTTCCTACAAGCCATCAGTCACTCCTGGCTTATCACCCATCTGCCCAGCTCCCTCTCAAGTGACCACCTGACTTCTATGGTAAGCCAGCTCCCATATATACACAAGCTCTGAAGTCACAGAACTTTGAGCCTCAGTTTCCCCATTTGTACATACATGCCACACTGAACACCAAGGTTTGGCTCCTGCCCTCCTTTCTATTTCATGCATAACATATACATGTCTTCCGGTGCACTTTGGATCCTCCTGGGACACATACTCTATGATTTGGCAAGAGGAAAGAGAAAGGAAACTTTCCAGGATGCAGGGGATGTAGTTATATGGTTGGCATCAAAAATCACAAATGAAGATTTCAACCAATAGGAATGGGGAAGCTACACGAGCAGAGCGCAGCATGATTAAGACCCAGGAACTGGGGAAAACGGGTCACCAGAAGCTAACATACCAGAGCTGGGAATAACAGAAGAGCACAAGTTCCCATTTCATCCATCTGGCCAGCAGTCATGTGGCCGAGGGCACATGCCCTTTCTAAGCCTCAGTGTTATAGTCAGTGGAAATAAGAGTCTCCACTTACACTGGCTAGGAAGGCCAGTTGTAAGTGCTTTCTCCATCCTACACACAGAAAGGTGCCAAACAGATTTGTCAGTTTTCTTCCTCTTCCCAGACACCCTCACTGCCTTCCCACATCAAGACCTGCAGCCAGCTCATACTCTGGACCTTAAGCAGTATTAGTTATCAATGGGTCTGAAGGCTCATTTCATCATTTTGGAGGCTGAGGTAGACATACTGCCATGAGTTCAAGGCCAGCCTGGGCTACATAGTGAGTTCCAAAGCAGCCAAAGCTACACCCCAAAACCCTGTCTCAGGACCCCCTTTGTAAAAAGTCACCTCTGCTTTGGGGAAGAGGGAAACAGAAAACAAGTAACATGAAAATATTAGAGAACCAACTATGGAAAAGGAAGAGGACCTACAGGAGGAAGCAGGAGATGGAAGAGGGAGGGAGGAGAACCAAGAAAATGTCATGATAAAGCATAAGCTAATTTCGAAAATCATTTTTTTATAAAAAGTAGTAGCCATCAGACTTAAGAGCCATCCTGCCACTCCTCACCTGTGCTGACATCCTCTTGGTACAAGGGGCAG